CTCCCGGGAAGTCCTCGTGTTGTACCCATTTATGCCCCTTGCTCGGCACGTGCCGGGGGAGGGGCAAGCGGGAAAAAGAAAGGACGATTTCAGCGCGTCCGATTTTTTCATTTTCGTTTTTTTGCCCGAACAACGACCCAGCGGGGTGGGGGGCCCCCGGGGAGGCTTGCCCGTGCGAAGAAACGCCCCGTGCGCACCACCGTTGGGCGGTTGGAAGCCGCACACGGTCGCGGGGGTGGAGAGCGGAAACGGGCAGCCGGGGGAGGGTGGGGGCGGTTGGATGGGACTGGGGTGTACGGGGGGCAGGGGAGTTGAGGGGGCAAGGGGAGGGGCAGCAACGGGCAGGGGCTGGGCCAGCTGAGGGCACGGAAAAGGGGCGGGCAGAGGGTGAGCAGAGGGGCGAGCGATGCAAGGGAGGCACCATAGGGGGGGGAAACCAGTTGCACGGAGGTGGGAGGTGAGGGGCGTGCGAGGGGGTGGGAAAGGGGCAGGGAGGGGCAGAATGGGAGGATGTGGGTGGGGGGTGGGGGAGGGGAGTGTGCGTGTGTGTGTGTGAGAAAGAGAGAGAGGGAAAGGGAGGGGGGGAGAGAAGGGTGGGAGGGGGGCTGGTGGTGGGGATGGGCTGATGGTGGTAAGAGGGCAGCAGGGATGGGGAGAAGGGAGCGTAACGAGGGGAGAGCAAAGGGCAGGGGGGGAGGAAGGGAGGGGCAGGGAGGGAAGAGGCTGAACGTACAAAGGGGGGGAAACGAGGGGCATGGATGGTAGGAAACAAGGGCAGGGGTGCGGGAAATCAAGGGCAGGGAGGGGAGAAGCAATGGGTGAGGGGAAAACAAGGGAGGGGCAGAGGGGGTGGGCAGGGAGGGAAGAAACGTGGGGCAGGGAGGGGAGAAGCCAAAGACAGGGGCATGGGCAGGCGGGGGCAGGGAGGGAGCAGAGGAGAGGCACGGAGAAAGAAAGGGAGGCGCGGGGAGGGGAGAAACCGGGCGTGGGGGGGCGGAAAACGAGGGGCAGGGCGGGGAGGAGGGAGGGGCAGGGAGGGGAGAAGCTGAGCACACAGAGGGGGGAAAGGTGGGGCAGGGAGGTAGGAAGCCAAGGGCAAGGGTGGGAGAGTGGGGGGGCAGGGAGAGGGGGGAGGTGGGGGGCGGAGAAAGGCGGCGAGGGGCAGGGAGGGGAGAAACCAAGCATAGGGGGGCGAGATACGAGGGGCAGGGTGCGGATTGAGGAGGGGCAGGGAGTGGAGTGGGTCGGCGAGGGGAAGGAAGAGGCGTGCAGCAGAGGAGGGGAGGGGGGAGGAGAAGGTAAACGAGGGGAGCGCACGGGCGGGGAGGAGCGAATGGCGGGCGGTGGGAAACGGCGAGGGGGGCAGGGAGGGTCAAAAGAGGCGGCAAGGGAGCGGGCACGCGGAGGGTAGGGGCGGGGGGAGCGGATGGCATGAGGGGGCAGGGGGTGTGACTGTGAAGGGGGGACCCGGGCAAGGGGTGTGTACCGGTCGGGGCACGGGGTTGACGTGGTACGATCATACCTCGGCTACTACGCCGGATCCCATCAGAACTCCGAAGCTAAGCGCCGGTGGGCGAGAGCAGTTATTCATTAATAAGGGAAGAGCAAATACAAGCCGAATATAATGGTTTTTCCAAGACTAGGAAATTTCGACATAGCCTAAGCGCTATGAGGACGATTTATATATTTTGTAGGAAAAGGGGGAAAGAAAGGAAAGGAAGGAAAGATGAAGGAGTAAGAAGAAGTGGTAGGGAAAGGAAGAGGGTGGTAGGAAGAGAAGGGAAGGATAGAAGAAGGGAACAGAAAGAGGGAGGTGGGAAGAGAAGAGGAGAGAGAGAGAGAGACTAAGGAGAAGGAAGCACCAAAGGACCAAACACGGCAGCAACCCGCACGACCGCACGGGCACAGCGTTTCAAGCACAGCCACTATTGTTTTTTACACATATGCATCATATATATACTGCATATCAGCCACACTCTCGAAGCACCCTGTGACGTGGTGCCAAGTTCCCTGCCCCGCACCCAGTGGGACTGGTGCGGGCATCCACCCGTCGTCGGACCTCCCTAACTGCCGCACCGCATGCTGGATCATGCATTGAGCCTGCGCGCGCTGCAGTGCAACGGAGAGGCGTGTAGTGAGTCCTGCCTCAAATATCCGTGCCGATCCGTCATCCCCCCCACCTCTATCCCTCCTCCGCTGTGCTATCCTCTTTGCGCAGAGCCCCAGAAACTGACGCAGCGGCTCACTCAGAAGGCCAAAGGTCTCCGCCACGCACGCGTAAAAGTGTGGTGCCGGCTGCAGCCCCTCTAAGTGCGGCCCCCAGTGACGCAGCTTCTCCTGCACCCGCCTAGCTGCTGCCACTCCAATCTGTGTGGGGGTCGCCCGTCTCAGCTGCACGTTCCCCTCCCGCTGTGGATCCGCTATGGAGACATCCACAAGAACCATCAGACCCTGGCCAACGTCGCGGCAGGTGAGGTCTGGAATGCGGGAGGCGGTGCCTACACGGCCTGTGCGTCCGACTGGTCCCTGCTGTTGCGCTGGCTGCTGCCCTGTCTGGTCCCTTGGTGCCCCCTCTCCGATCGTCTCTCTCCCCCTCTCCTCTCCTCCATCCACCTGTCCTCTCCCCTCCCCCTCCCTACCCTCCCCCAAACCTCCCGACCCCCCTGCTCCATCCCCTGCTGCCTCTCTCACTCCCTGGCCCTCCCCTCCCAATCCCGCTGCCCCTCCTGTACCTCCGTCCGCTCTCTGCTGCTCCCGCCCCTGCCCCGCCCCCGAGGCCGAACCTGGAGGCGCGGCGCCCTGGGCCCGCGGCCTCCACTGGCTCTCCTGCTGCTGCCTGTGCCGTCCCCCCTCCCCGTCCTGGCCCGTCTGCTCCCCCTGCCGTCCCCTCTGCCCACCTGTCCCTCGCTCCACCTGACCCCGCAGCTGGTGCCGTCCCCACTGTCCCCCGCCACCCGGCTGTCCCGCCTCGCCTCTCCGCTCCCCCGGTCCCTCAGCCCGTGTCCCCTCTCCCACCACTGGCTGTCCCAGTAGTCTCGCTCGAGCCGCCTCCAACTGTGTGAACAGCGTAGAGTCCTCCACCTTTACCGCGAAGCCCGCCTCGACCGCAAAGTCTCGAAGCATGTACTTCACCGTGTCGTGGATGGTAGTGGCGACCCCGTAACGCGGGCACCGAACCGCGTGATGAGGCACCGTCATGTCGTCAATCGCCTGTCCGCAGGAGCACTGACCTGCAAGGGCTAACTGGGGGATAGGGAGACCAAGACGAGAAGATGAAGCCGCCTGCCACAGCGCCTCCGGGATGCGCAGTGGGTCGGCGTACGGCACCGACGTCAACCACGCTCCTGCACCTCCGCCCTGAAGGGAAGTCAAACGGGCAAGGTGCAAGGGAGAGGTGTGACGGGCACGCACGGCCTCCAAGGCATGCGCCTCCAGAAGACGGCTCGCTCCTGCAAAAAGGGAATCGGGGGAGGCAGAAGCGCAAGAGGGCCAGGGGGGAAGGAGAGAGAGAACGTCAGGAGGGAGACCCTCTAGCGCCGTCTGCAGAGCCCGGTCGATCTGCTCTGGCTCACCTGAAGCGAAGCTCTGCCGAAACACCTCGCCACACGCAGGGAGAGAACAGAGAATGGGTGCACACTGCACCCAGGAGCACACGAAACTCACCGGGGCCATGCGCGCCATGCGACGAATGCCGAAACCCCCGAGACGGATGGGGAGGAAGATCTGGTCTAGGGCGGCCTCTCGGACGTCCTCGCGACAAGCCCAGGTCCCTGAAGCTAAAAGCTGCTGAAAAGTCTCTCCCAGGCGTGCGTCCCACCGTGTAAAACTGGAGATCACTGCGGGCGAAGGAGGGACGGTCCTCGACAGGTACTGCGGACGAGTGCTGACACACGCCGAAAGAAGGCGGGCAGCTGTCTGGGGCTGGCGCAACCTCGGAAGCCAAGGTAGCACCCGCCCCATCCTCTCGAGACGATCCGGGAGACTCTGCTCCACGAACGAAACGGTGCCTACCGGTACGCCTGTCACGGTGAGCCCTCGGCGTGCGACCTCGATCCCTAGGCCCGTGAAAGCCTCCAGATCCCTGGACAGAAAGGACTCTGTCTGGTAGACGAGGCACTTGTGCGGCTGGGCTGCAAGGCCCATCTCGCCCAAGCGCCTCACGATCTCGGCAAAATGGTGCAGCACCCTGTCTGGGGGACCTAGCACGTACGTGTCATCGGCGTACGACCAGAGCTGGACATCCCCCTCCGCCAGAACCGGCTCCAAAGCAAGACGCTGTGTCAGAGCGTACAAGAAGGGGCTGAGAGGGTCTCCCTGGCGAGTGCCCCGCTCCGAGTGCATCGTGACCACTCCCGTGCCTGACCTGTAGTGGAGATCCGAGGGCGTCCCGTAGAAGAGGCCGATGAAGGGGATCAGACACTGAAACTCCGGACTGGCCTGCAGCGCCTGAAACATCCTGTCTCGGTGGAAAGAGTTAAAGGCATTCGCCACGTCTAGCTGCAGGACCACCCAGTCTGGGTGGTCAGCCAGAGCGCGGCGGACGCCTCTAACTACGACCTCTGTCCCGCACGTAACCCCCACCCCAAACTGCTGTGATGCCAAGAAGACCCTCGCCATCTGGTCACGTAGCTGGAGACAAACTGCCCGAGAAAGAATGCGGACCAAAACCTCGCCGATGGCAATCGGCCGAACATCCATGTTCGACTTCGCCAGAGCCACGAGGGTGGAGGACGCTAGCAAGGAGCGCGCAGCTGGAGCGCAACGGCCTCGGAGCCACTGCTGGTACACGGCCAGGAGGAAATGGAGACTCTGAGGGAAAGCTAGGAAAGTGTCTCGCAGGTGCTCAGCGACCCAACCGGACGGTCCTCCCGAAGAGCCCCGCGGAGCTGTGAAAATCGCGCGGCGTAAGTGATCCACCGAGAGCACGAGAGGGGACCCCTGGAAGCCAGACAGCCAAGCTGGGGTCGGCCTCTCCGCGTTGGGGTGCTTCGACTGCAGGCGCTGTATCGTCCCCTGTGTATCTGGGGCTGCCTCCGCGGACTCGAGAGCCGCGCACGCCCGTGAGGTCTCATTGCACGCTGCCAGACGAAGGCAACGTGCAATGCGGCGCTCATCTGCTGCAGAGGGATCGGTGGCGGTGCGTGACCGGTGACCTGTGCGGCGAGGAAGGGGTGTGCGACGGCCTAGTGCATCTGAGACTAGCTCAGCCCACTCACCTCGACCAAAGCGAGAGATGCGCGTTGCAATGGCAGCCGTGTGCGAGCGGTCGGGTGGCGTCGCTGGAACAAGGAAAAGAGTCGGCGCTGCAGCGAGGAGGAAGGTAGGGCCAGCAGCCTCCGGGTCCTGGGCAATGCGGACTAGGATCGCACTGAGGACGTCAAGATATCCTCCGCGGACCCTCTCCGGGACACGTCGGAGAGGGCGTGTATGGATACGCTCGGGCGAGAAGTACTCTGTCCAGTCCACCGAGTCGAGCGTCTGCCACTGTGCGTCGGTGAACTGCATCCCGGTCGCACGGGGCTGTGAGAGGGAAGGGATGATCGAGGCGGTATCATGGGCAGCCTGCGCCCTGCGAGCCGCGTCCGCAGGATGGCAGAAGGGAATGTGGTGCTGGAGCGCGCGTCGGTTCGCGAGAGAGCTCCTGCAGGTGGGGCAACTCACGACCTGGTCGGGTGATGTCGCCGTGTCGGCGGGGTCAATCGGGGCCGTGGCGTCGGAACTGGCTGTAGAGGGGACCCCGTGGGCGGCCTGAGCTCCGACAGGATCGCCTGGGATGAGGGGAGGAGACGACTCACCAGCCCCGCGCGGGGGGGGTGTCAGCGAAGATAGAGGTGGTGTCGCACAGGATAGGGCCGGGCCTCGTGCCGGCACCGGTGTTGAAGCTGGGGAGGGGGGACGTGGAGGTGAGCCTGAAGTGTGTGCCGTGGTGTGCTCCTGCCCCTCGGCGGGGTGCGGTTCAAGTGACGGCTCTGCTACCCCAGGCGGAGGGGTCTCGGTAGGGGCGGATGCCTCATCCCTACTGCTGGTGACCTCCTGCGCCACGGGCTGAACGGGGGGAGGCGCCACCCCGTCTAGGTGCGAGTGACACGGCCTCAGACCCCGGTCCGTCTCCATTGGGGTCGGGAGTGACGCGCCTGGCTGAGTGGCGGGGGGGATAAAAGAAGGGACAGACCGGGTGACCTCCGCATACGTCCGGGTCCGGTCCTGTGGGACTGGAAGGGTGGGGGCAGCCGGAGAGCTGCTCAGGCGGTGTATCGCCAGCAAATCTGAAATGCCAGCCCTCACCTCCTCTGGGGTCTCGAAGACCTGCCTGCCTGTAGGTGAGAGTAGGAGGGCTGGCAGGGTAGAGGGTGGAGTGGGGCGTGCTGGCTGAGCGGAGCTCGGGTGTGGACCCTGCCCTAGAAGGCCCCCTTGGCCCTCCCCAATCACCATGGGTTGCGGTAGGGGGTCGTCGACATGGAAGGGGTGGGAGGGATGGGAGGGGGAGTCGGTGGCGTCTGCCATGGGCGCATCCCTCAACCCGACGGCCCCCCTCCCAGTAGCGATCGCGGCCGCCGCCACCTGGGAGGGGGACACAGCACGGGAGGGGCAGAATGGGGGTGAGTGGGCTGGTCCGCTCCCATGGCCCTGTGGAGGTGCAGGAGCGGGGCGGGAGTGTAGGTTTGGTGGACGGGCTGTAGAGGTAGGGCCTGGTAATTGTTCAACGGGATGTGAGGTGGGGAGGGGCTCTTGGTGGGGGAGGGAGGGAGGGGGGAGTACGTGGGCTGACCCTCTGCCTCCTCTGCCCCTGTTCTTCCGCCGGCGGCCAACCTGGTTGTCCGCGCCTGTTTGTGAAGGAAGGGGGGGCTGTGGGGCCAAAGGGGTGGGTGGAGGGAGGATGGGTGGTTCGCCAGGCAGGGGGTGCTCTGTGTGCATCCCCACTCTCCTCGAAACATCCCCCTCCGTGGGAACAGATCGGGCAAGCTGTGTGTGGGGGGTGATGGCTGCCCAACGGGGCCACTCGTGGGGAACCCGGCCGGGAGAGGGGGTTGGAGGTGGGGGTCGAGGGGCTGGGCCAGTGTGGAGGTTAGAGCGAGGTACAAACGGTGGGGGGAGAGAGATTTGTGTGGGCTCTGTGGTGGCCTCTCCTGTGGGCCCCTCTACCCGGGTGCCGCCGCTCCCATGAGCCTGGGGCGCAAGCCCTTGCGGGTGGGTCTCGGCTGCCTGGGGGGGGTGGTGTGGGGAGGGCAGCCTGTTGGGTGGGCGTGTTGGGGCTGTGCGGCGACTCGGGTGGTTTGGGTGCCTGTAGCGTGTGGGAGAGGGATTTGGCCGCAGAGATGCTTCAACCTCCGAGATGTGTGTACTACCGGGTGGGGGGGGGCCTGGTGGAGGAGGGGGTAGTGGGCCGGTAAGGGGTGGCTGGGTGTTGGTAGGAGTCGGGGAGCATGGCTCCTCTAGGAAGACCAGAGCCCTGGCTGCTCCACGTGGTGCTCTAAGGAGCCCCTGAGGGTGGGGGCAGAGGTGTGCTGCCCTTGGGGGTGAAGGAAGGAGTGAGGGAAGGGGCGGGGAGGGGTGAGAGGTGAGAGAAGGGGTGCCCTCGGGTGACTCTGCTCTTGTCGCACCCGCGTGCTCTCCCGGTGGACCGCCTGCAACCGTGGGGTCAGGCGTTGGGGACGGAGAGGGGGGCTGGCCATGGAGCAGCGTGGGGGTCGGGGAGCACGGCTCCGCCAAGAAGGCCAGGGCCTTGGCTGCCCCCCTGGACACTACCGGGACCTGAGGGTGGGGGTGGGGAAGTGGTGCTCCTGGGGGCTGGTGGGCTGGAGGACGGGAGGTGAGGATGGGGGCTCCCTCGCGCGGCTCTGTCCTCAAGGTCTCCCCCAGCCCCTCCATCGGTCCTTCTGCTAGCATGGGGACGGGCATGGGGGGTAGAGGGGGAACCTCGACGTGAGGCTGCAGGGGGGCCGGGTCGGCCTCACCGTCAAGCGTGAGGTATTGGGCCAGTGGCCCGTCAATGTGCATCACATCCTCTCCCTCATCCTCCTCTATCGCTATCACATCCCCCTCTTCAGTGCCCACCCCGGTCGGGACCACCCTCCCCTCTCCTTCCCCTGTTGCCCCTATGTCCCCCAAGCCCACCCCGCCTGCTGCCGCTTTACTGCTAGCCCCTTTTGCAGTCTCTGCCGGCCCTGCCGGCCCTGCTGTGTGTTTCCCCGAGTTTGCTGCGGCCCCTGCCGCCCCTACTGGCCGTGCTATGGCCCTCCCTGCTGCTTCAGCTGCAGCCTCACCTTCTGCCTTTGAGGCCCCTGCCGTACCCTCTCTTGCTACAGCCGGGGCGGCACTCTCCCTCGCACCAGTCCCCGTTACCCCCTTCCCCGCTGCACCCGTAGCACCTCCCCCTATACCAGCCCCCGCTGTGGCCTCTGTCGCTCCTGCTGCAGTCCTTGCAGCCTCGACTGCTGCAGTCTGTAAAACCTCGCCTACCGTAATCTGCTCAGCCTCACCAGCCGCGATCCCTGTAGCCTCACGTGCTGCAGTCCCTGCAGCCTCACGTGCTGCAGTCCCTGCAGCCTCACCCGCTGCAGTCCCTGCGGCCTCACCTGCTGCAGTCTGTGCAGCCTCACCTGCTAGAATCTGCTCAACCTCACATGCTGCGGCCTCTGCAGCCTCACCTGCTGCGGCTATTTCAGCCTCACCTGCTGCGCTCCCTGCGGCCTCACCTGCCATGGTCCCGCCTGCAGCCTCATCCGCTGTGGTCCCTGCCGCCTCACCTGCTGCAGTCCCTGCGGCCTCACCTGTTGCAGTCCATGCGACCTCACCAGCTGTAGACTGTGCAGCCTCACCTGCTAGAGTCTGCCCAACCTTACATGATGCAGCCCTCGCAGCCTCACCTGCTGCGTCCGCCGCAGCCTCACCTGCTGTGGCCCCTGCAGTCCCGCCTGCTGCGCTCCCTGCAGCCTCGCCTGCTGCGCTCCCTGCAGCCTCGCTTGCTGCGCTCCCTGCGGCCTCACCTGCTGCGCTCTCTGCAGCCTCACCTGCTGCGCCCCCTACAGCCTCACCTGCTGCGCTCCCCGCAGCCTCACCTACTGCGCTCCCTGCGGCCTCACCTGCCATGGTCCCTCCTGCAGCCTCACCCGTTGTGATCCCTGCAGCCACACCTGCTGTGGTCTGTGCGGCCTCACCTGGTGCGGTCCCTATAGCCTCCTCTGCTGCGGTTCCCCCAGCCGACGCAGCAGCAGGTTCCGTGGCCCCTACTCCTGCAAAACCTGTCTCCATGGCCTCTGCCCTTTGCCTGGCCAGAGTCACGGTCCCTGCCGCCCCTTCCCGTGCAGCCCCTGCCGCCCTTTCCCGTGCAGCCGCTGCTGCCCCTTCCCTTGCAGCCTCTGCTGCCCTTTCCTCTGCAGCCTCTGCTGCCCCTTCCCCCACAACCCCCATTGCCCCTTCCCGTGCAGCCTTTGCTGCCCCATCCTCTGTAGCCTCTGCTGCTCCTTCACACACAAACTCACTTACCCCTTCCCGTGCAGTGTCAGCTGCAAGTTCCCCCCTGGCTCTGCCCTCTCCCGCTTCTATGTGCTTGGGGGTGCGGGTAGGATTAAGTGTTTTCACAAGTAATCTGGTTTGCGAATGGGAGGTAGCGAGTGAGTTGGAGGATCTCTCTACTGAGCATGCATGGGTGCCGCCCCCGCTGTCACCTGAAGGGGGGGTAGACTGGGATGGGGCAGCGGGGGTAGGGCGCGGTTTTGAGCGTGCTGGCTCCTCCTCGTGTATTTCCTCCAGTGGGGCTTGGCGTTCCTCTGTTCCATCCTCTTCAAAGGTACGCTTCTGGCCCCTAGGGTCAGATTGTGTGAGTGTTTTCGCTTGGTCAGGTGTGTGTTGTTTCTTCCTGACTGTTGAAGTGGGGGGAGTGGGAGAGTAGGGGGTGGCTCGGCTGCGGGACCTCCCAGATCGCCGAGGGGCTCCCGGGCCTGCCTTTCCCCCACTCGCGGGGTGCTGGGGCATTGTTACAGAGGCAGCATGCCTGGCGGTGGCGGTGTGAGTTGCTGGGGTTGGCTCAAGAGGGCGTCAAAGGGGGAAGGAACTCCCTGGCAGAGGCCGGGGTGCGGGGGGTTAGCTTGGGGAAAGGGGAAAAGGGTGGGGAAAGCGGTGCGCAGTGGGTGGAAGAGAGGGTAGAGGGGGCCTGACAGTTGGAGGGGATTGGGGCCCAAGGGGGGGGCGGGCTGGGGGCCGATTGAGAGGGGAAGTGTTGGCGGGCTGTAGTGGAGGTGGGGGGGCGGGGGTGGTGTAGCGGTGGGTGAGCAGGGTGTGGGGACAGGTGGTGGGCCAGAGGTGGGGAGGGCAGGGCAGAATTCCACGGGAGGTGGGGGTGGGCAGGTGGAGCCAGGTGGGAAAGGAAGGGTGGGGAACAGAGAGGAAGGGGCAAAGGGTAGTGGGTAGTCGAGTTGGCGTGAGCCTGGTAGCGGGTAATGAGAAGGTTGGGAGGCGGGGGGTGAGAACGTGGGAGGGCAGAGAGGGCACCGAAAGGAGGTGCTGTGGTAAATGCAGGATAGGATGCGGGGCCGGGAAACAGGGGACAGAGGGAATTGGGGAATCGATGAAGGGTGATAGCTGCGGATGGGCGAGCCCCAGGGGGGAGGAAATATGGAGGGTGTTGGAGAAGGGGGAGACTGGGGGGGGTTGAGGTAGGGTGTTGGAGGGCACAAGGGGCAGGAACAGGGGGTGCAAAAGTTGGCTGGGGGAGGGAGAGGCGGTCTGGTGCCGCGGAAAGGCGGAGGGAGGTTGGGGACGGCACAGCCCAGGGAGCAAAAGCAAGGGGTGTAGACCTTGGCTGGGGGTAGGAACGGCGGTGTGGAGTTAGGGAGAGGTAGAGGGAGGCTGGGGTAGGTGGCTGGATTGCGCAGGGAGCAGGGGCAGGGGGTGTAGAGATTGGATGGGGGTGGGAAAGGCGGCGTGGTGCCAGGTGGCGGCAGTTGGGTCACCGAAGGGCCTGGCAGGGCGGGATGCAGAGGTGCAGCCCACGCTGGATGCGGAAGTAGCTGGGGGGGAAAGGGAGGCTGGAGGGGGAAGTACGGCTCGTAGAGGTGTGGGGGGCAGAGTGGGAGTGGGGAAAGCAGGAAGGGGGGTGGAGGGACGTTGTGGACAGGGGAGTGGGGGAACATGCGGGTGATGATAGGGAGAAGCCGGGGGGGGGGGAGAAGGGGGAGGTGGTATGAAGTGGGCAAGGGTGACGCACGGGCAGAGCGCGGCGGTACTAAGGGCAGGGAGACGGGAGGCTGGGGGGAGAAAGGCCTGCTTGGGGGCGTGGTGGGGGATAAGGGGAGAGGGGCGGTAATGCTGGTGGGCAAAAGGGGAGGGTGTGGTGTAGTATGATGAAACAGAATGGGGGGGTGGCGGACTGGGTGGGGCCCTGGAGGGTTGGGAGAACAAGGTGTAAGCTGCCTTTCTGATTTTTCCTGGTTTTTTCGGATTTATATGAATTTCTTTTTCTTTTCTTTTTTCCTTGAAGTTGTTTCCTCTTATTTCCTACGGTTTCCAGAAACAGGGCGGCCTCTGCTAGCTAAGCGCCGTTAGGGAAAGAGGTTAGGTGGCGGGGTGGCTAAAGCGCGCGTGTGAGGGGGAAAGGGGCGGTGTGAGCAGGGAGGTGACTATGTGGGTGGCGACGGGGTAAAATTACGACGTGTGGGTGGCATGCACGAGTGCGCGACGAGGCACGGCAGGGTGGGAGTGAGCAAAAGGGGAGTGGGGCGGCTTGTGTGCCAAACGTGGGCGGCTAAAACGCTCTAGGCAGAAAACGCGCTTCGGGAGGCGCGCAAGGGGAGGGCTGCTTAATCGCTACGAACGTAGCAATTTCGCCTCCCTCCGCGCTGCCTTTCCCTGGCGGTAAGCGCCCCGTGCGCGGTTCCGTCTACGTCGCGGCTAGATTGAACAGGCGGGGAAAACGAGTGCATGACTAAACATGATAGGCGACGAGAAAGCGTGCTTGGAAACGCGCGGCTCTTCGAATTAGGGTTACGATAAAGAAGGGCGCACCGAAAGGGAAGGAAGAGTGCTAACTACGGGCGGAAGCTAAGCTCAGTGACTTCGAGAGAGGGAAACCGCGGGAAAAAACTCGGTAGCAGCTAATCGCTTCGAATAGAAAAAGAGCGAGAGCAGTACTGGGCTGGGTGACCTCCCGGGAAGTCCTCGTGTTGTACCCATTTATGCCCCTTGCTCGGCACGTGCCGGGGGAGGGGCAAGCGGGAAAAAGAAAGGACGATTTCAGCGCGTCCGATTTTTTCATTTTCGTTTTTTTGCCCGAACAACGACCCAGCGGGGTGGGGGGCCCCCGGGGAGGCTTGCCCGTGCGAAGAAACGCCCCGTGCGCACCACCGTTGGGCGGTTGGAAGCCGCACACGGTCGCGGGGGTGGAGAGCGGAAACGGGCAGCCGGGGGAGGGTGGGGGCGGTTGGATGGGACTGGGGTGTACGGGGGGCAGGGGAGTTGAGGGGGCAAGGGGAGGGGCAGCAACGGGCAGGGGCTGGGCCAGCTGAGGGCACGGAAAAGGGGCGGGCAGAGGGTGAGCAGAGGGGCGAGCGATGCAAGGGAGGCACCATAGGGGGGGGAAACCAGTTGCACGGAGGTGGGAGGTGAGGGGCGTGCGAGGGGGTGGGAAAGGGGCAGGGAGGGGCAGAATGGGAGGATGTGGGTGGGGGGTGGGGGAGGGGAGTGTGCGTGTGTGTGTGTGAGAAAGAGAGAGAGGGAAAGGGAGGGGGGGAGAGAAGGGTGGGAGGGGGGCTGGTGGTGGGGATGGGCTGATGGTGGTAAGAGGGCAGCAGGGATGGGGAGAAGGGAGCGTAACGAGGGGAGAGCAAAGGGCAGGGGGGGAGGAAGGGAGGGGCAGGGAGGGAAGAGGCTGAACGTACAAAGGGGGGGAAACGAGGGGCATGGATGGTAGGAAACAAGGGCAGGGGTGCGGGAAATCAAGGGCAGGGAGGGGAGAAGCAATGGGTGAGGGGAAAACAAGGGAGGGGCAGAGGGGGTGGGCAGGGAGGGAAGAAACGTGGGGCAGGGAGGGGAGAAGCCAAAGACAGGGGCATGGGCAGGCGGGGGCAGGGAGGGAGCAGAGGAGAGGCACGGAGAAAGAAAGGGAGGCGCGGGGAGGGGAGAAACCGGGCGTGGGGGGGCGGAAAACGAGGGGCAGGGCGGGGAGGAGGGAGGGGCAGGGAGGGGAGAAGCTGAGCACACAGAGGGGGGAAAGGTGGGGCAGGGAGGTAGGAAGCCAAGGGCAAGGGTGGGAGAGTGGGGGGGCAGGGAGAGGGGGGAGGTGGGGGGCGGAGAAAGGCGGCGAGGGGCAGGGAGGGGAGAAACCAAGCATAGGGGGGCGAGATACGAGGGGCAGGGTGCGGATTGAGGAGGGGCAGGGAGTGGAGTGGGTCGGCGAGGGGAAGGAAGAGGCGTGCAGCAGAGGAGGGGAGGGGGGAGGAGAAGGTAAACGAGGGGAGCGCACGGGCGGGGAGGAGCGAATGGCGGGCGGTGGGAAACGGCGAGGGGGGCAGGGAGGGTCAAAAGAGGCGGCAAGGGAGCGGGCACGCGGAGGGTAGGGGCGGGGGGAGCGGATGGCATGAGGGGGCAGGGGGTGTGACTGTGAAGGGGGGACCCGGGCAAGGGGTGTGTACCGGTCGGGGCACGGGGTTGACGTGGTACGATCATACCTCGGCTACTACGCCGGATCCCATCAGAACTCCGAAGCTAAGCGCCGGTGGGCGAGAGCAGTTATTCATTAATAAGGGAAGAGCATATACAAGCCGAATATAATGGTTTTTCCAAGACAAGGAAATTTCGACATAGCCTAAGCGCTATGAGGACGATATATATATTTTGTAGGAAAAGGGGGAAAGAAAGGAAAGGAAGGAAAGATGAAGGAGTAAGAAGAAGTGGTAGGGAAAGGAAGAGGGTGGTAGGAAGAGAAGGGAAGGATAGAAGAAGGGAACAGAAAGAGGGAGGTGGGAAGAGAAGAGGAGAGAGAGAGAGAGACTAAGGAGGAGGAAGCACCAAAGGACCAAACACGGCAGCAACCCGCACGACCGCACGGGCACAGCGTTTCAAGCACAGCCACTATTGTTTTTTACACATATGCATCATATATATACTGCATATCAGCCACACTCTCGAAGCACCCTGTGACGTGGTGCCAAGTTCCCTGCCCCGCACCCAGTGGGACTGGTGCGGGCATCCACCCGTCGTCGGACCTCCCTAACTGCCGCACCGCATGCTGGATCATGCATTGAGCCTGCGCGCGCTGCAGTGCAACGGAGAGGCGTGTAGTGAGTCCTGCCTCAAATATCCGTGCCGATCCGTCATCCCCCCCACCTCTATCCCTCCTCCGCTGTGCTATCCTCTTTGCGCAGAGCCCCAGAAACTGACGCAGCGGCTCACTCAGAAGGCCAAAGGTCTCCGCCACGCACGCGTAAAAGTGTGGTGCCGGCTGCAGCCCCTCTAAGTGCGGCCCCCAGTGACGCAGCTTCTCCTGCACCCGCCTAGCTGCTGCCACTCCAATCTGTGTGGGGGTCGCCCGTCTCAGCTGCACGTTCCCCTCCCGCTGTGGATCCGCTATGGAGACATCCACAAGAACCATCAGACCCTGGCCAACGTCGCGGCAGGTGGGGTCTGGAATGCGGGAGGCGGTGCCTACACGGCCTGTGCGTCCGACTGGTCCCTGCTGTTGCGCTGGCTGCTGCCCTGTCTGGTCCCTTGGTGCCCCCTCTCCGATCGTCTCTCTGCCCCTCTCCTCTCCTCCATCCACCTGTCCTCTCCCCTCCCCCTCTCTACCCTCCCCCAAACCTCCCGACCCCCCTGCTCCATCCCCTGCTGCCTCTCTCACTCCCTGGCCCTCCCCTCCCAATCCCGCTGCCCCTCCTGTACCTCCGTCCGCTCTCTGCTGCTCCCGCCCCTGCCCCGCCCCCAAGGCCGAACCTGGAGGCGCGGCGCCCTGGGCCCGCGGCCTCCACTGGCTCTCCTGCTGCTGCCTGTGCCGTCCCCCCTCCCTGTCCTGGCCTGTCTGCTCCCCCTGCCGTCCCCTCTGCCCACCTGTCCCTCGCTCCACCTGACCCCGCAGCTGGTGCCGTCCCCACTGTCCCCCGCCACCCGGCTGTCCCGCCACGCCTCTCCGCTCCCCCGGTCCCTCAGCCCGTGTCCCCTCTCCCACCACTGGCTGTCCCAGTAGTCTCGCTCGAGCCGCCTCCAACTGTGTGAACAGCGTAGAGCAGTACTGGGCTGGGTGACCTCCCGGGAAGTCCTCGTGTTGTACCCATTTATGCCCCTTGCTCGGCACGTGCCGGGGGAGGGGCAAGCGGGAAAAAGAAAGGACGATTTCAGCGCGTCCGATTTTTTCATTTTCGTTTTTTTGCCCGAACAACGACCCAGCGGGGTGGGGGGCCCCCGGGGAGGCTTGCCCGTGCGAAGAAACGCCCCGTGCGCACCACCGTTGGGCGGTTGGAAGCCGCACATGGTCGCGGGGGTGGAGAGCGGAAACGGGCAGCCGGGGGAGGGTGGGGGCGGTTGGATGGGACTGGGGTGTACGGGGGGCAGGGGAGTTGAGGGGGCAAGGGGAGGGGCAGCAACGGGCAGGGGCTGGGCCAGCTGAGGGCACGGAAAAGGGGCGGGCAGAGGGTGAGCAGAGGGGCGAGCGATGCAAGGGAGGCACCATAGGGGGGGGAAACCAGTTGCACGGAGGTGGGAGGTGAGGGGCGTGCGAGGGGGTGGGAAAGGGGCAGGGAGGGGCAGAATGGGAGGATGTGGGTGGGGGGTGGGGGAGGGGAGTGTGCGTGTGTGTGTGTGAGAAAGAGAGAGAGGGAAAGGGAGGGGGGGAGAGAAGGGTGGGAGGGGGGCTGGTGGTGGGGATGGGCTGATGGTGGTAAGAGGGCAGCAGGGATGGGGAGAAGGGAGCGTAACGAGGGGAGAGCAAAGGGCAGGGGGGGAGGAAGGGAGGGGCAGGGAGGGAAGAGGCTGAACGTACAAAGGGGGGGAAACGAGGGGCATGGATGGTAGGAAACAAGGGCAGGGGTGCGGGAAATCAAGGGCAGGGAGGGGAGAAGCAATGGGTGAGGGGAAAACAAGGGAGGGGCAGAGGGGGTGGGCAGGGAGGGAAGAAACGTGGGGCAGGGAGGGGAGAAGCCAAAGACAGGGGCATGGGCAGGCGGGGGCAGGGAGGGAGCAGAGGAGAGGCACGGAGAAAGAAAGGGAGGCGCGGGGAGGGGAGAAACCGGGCGTGGGGGGGCGGAAAACGAGGGGCAGGGCGGGGAGGAGGGAGGGGCAGGGAGGGGAGAAGCTGAGCACACAGAGGGGGGAAAGGTGGGGCAGGGAGGTAGGAAGCCAAGGGCAAGGGTGGGAGAGTGGGGGGGCAGGGAGAGGGGGGAGGTGGGGGGCGGAGAAAGGCGGCGAGGGGCAGGGAGGGGAGAAACCAAGCATAGGGGGGCGAGATACGAGGGGCAGGGTGCGGATTGAGGAGGGGCAGGGAGTGGAGTGGGTCGGCGAGGGGAAGGAAGAGGCGTGCAGCAGAGGAGGGGAGGGGGGAGGAGAAGGTAAACGAGGGGAGCGCACGGGCGGGGAGGAGCGAATGGCGGGCGGTGGGAAACGGCGAGGGGGGCAGGGAGGGTCAAAAGAGGCGGCAAGGGAGCGGGCACGCGGAGGGTAGGGGCGGGGGGAGCGGATGGCATGAGGGGGCAGGGGGTGTGACTGTGAAGGGGGGACCCGGGCAAGGGGTGTGTACCGGTCGGGGCACGGGGTTGACGTGGTACGATCATACCTCGGCTACTACGCCGGATCCCATCAGAACTCCGAAGCTAAGCGCTGGTGGGCGAGAGCAGTTATTCATTAATAAGGGAAGAGCAAATACAAGCCGAATATAATGGTTTTTCCAAGACTAGGAAATTTCGACATAGCCTAAGCGCTATGAGGACGATTTATATATTTTGTAGGAAAAGGGGGAAAGAAAGGAAAGGAAGGAAAGATGAAGGAGTAAGAAGAAGTGGTAGGGAAAGGAAGAGGGTGGTAGGAAGAGAAGGGAAGGATAGAAGAAGGGAACAGAAAGAGGGAGGTGGGAAGAGAAGAGGAGAGAGAGAGAGAGACTAAGGAGAAGGAAGCACCAAAGGACCAAACACGGCAGCAACCCGCACGACCGCACGGGCACAGCGTTTCAAGCACAGCCACTATTGTTTTTTACACATATGCATCATATATATACTGCATATCAGCCACACTCTCGAAGCACCCTGTGACGTGGTGCCAAGTTCCCTGCCCCGCACCCAGTGGGACTGGTGCGGGCATCCACCCGTCGTCGGACCTCCCTAACTGCCGCACCGCATGCTGGATCATGCATTGAGCCTGCGCGCGCTGCAGTGCAACGGAGAGGCGTGTAGTGAGTCCTGCCTCAAATATCCGTGCCGATCCGTCATCCCCCCCACCTCTATCCCTCCTCCGCTGTGCTATCCTCTTTGCGCAGAGCCCCAGAAACTGACGCAGCGGCTCACTCAGAAGGCCAAAGGTCTCCGCCACGCACGCGTAAAAGTGTGGTGCCGGCTGCAGCCCCTCTAAGTGCGGCCCCCAGTGACGCAGCTTCTCCTGCACCCGCCTAGCTGCTGCCACTCCAATCTGTGTGGGGGTCGCCCGTCTCAGCTGCACGTTCCCCTCCCGCTGTGGATCCGCTATGGAGACATCCACAAGAACCATCAGACCCTGGCCAACGTCGCGGCAGGTGAGGTCTGGAATGCGGGAGGCGGTGCCTACACGGCCTGTGCGTCCGACTGGTCCCTGCTGTTGCGCTGGCTGCTGCCCTGTCTGGTCCCTTGGTGCCCCCTCTCCGATCGTCTCTCTCCCCCTCTCCTCTCCTCCATCCACCTGTCCTCTCCCCTCCCCCTCCCTACCCTCCCCCAAACCTCCCGACCCCCCTGCTCCATCCCCTGCTGCCTCTCTCACTCCCTGGCCCTCCCCTCCCAATCCCGCTGCCCCTCCTGTACCTCCGTCCGCTCTCTGCTGCTCCCGCCCCTGCCCCGCCCCCGAGGCCGAACCTGGAGGCGCGGCGCCCTGGGCCCGCGGCCTCCACTGGCTCTCCTGCTGCTGCCTGTGCCGTCCCCCCTCCCCGTCCTGGCCCGTCTGCTCCCCCTGCCGTCCCCTCTGCCCACCTGTCCCTCGCTCCACCTGACCCCGCAGCTGGTGCCGTCCCCACTGTCCCCCGCCACCCGGCTGTCCCGCCTCGCCTCTCCGCTCCCCCGGTCCCTCAGCCCGTGTCCCCTCTCCCACCACTGGCTGTCCCAGTAGTCTCGCTCGAGCCGCCTCCAACTGTGTGAACAGCGTAGAGTCCTCCACCTTTACCGCGAAGCCCGCCTCGACCGCAAAGTCTCGAAGCATGTACTTCACCGTGTCGTGGATGGTAGTGGCGACCCCGTAACGCGGGCACCGAACCGCGTGATGAGGCACCGTCATGTCGTCAATCGCCTGTCCGCAGGAGCACTGACCTGCAAGGGCTAACTGGGGGATAGGGAGACCAAGACGAGAAGATGAAGCCGCCTGCCACAGCGCCTCCGGGATGCGCAGTGGGTCGGCGTACGGCACCGACGTCAACCACGCTCCTGCACCTCCGCCCTGAAGGGAAGTCAAACGGGCAAGGTGCAAGGGAGAGGTGTGACGGGCACGCACGGCCTCCAAGGCATGCGCCTCCAGAAGACGGCTCGCTCCTGCAAAAAGGGAATCGGGGGAGGCAGAAGCGCAAGAGGGCCAGGGGGGAAGGAGAGAGAGAACGTCAGGAGGGAGACCCTCTAGCGCCGTCTGCAGAGCCCGGTCGATCTGCTCTGGCTCACCTGAAGCGAAGCTCTGCCGAAACACCTCGCCACACGCAGGGAGAGAACAGAGAATGGGTGCACACTGCACCCAGGAGCACACGAAACTCACCGGGGCCATGCGCGCCATGCGACGAATGCCGAAACCCCCGAGACGGATGGGGAGGAAGATCTGGTCTAGGGCGGCCTCTCGGACGTCCTCGCGACAAGCCCAGGTCCCTGAAGCTAAAAGCTGCTGAAAAGTCTCTCCCAGGCGTGCGTCCCACCGTGTAAAACTGGAGATCACTGCGGGCGAAGGAGGGACGGTCCTCGACAGGTACTGCGGACGAGTGCTGACACACGCCGAAAGAAGGCGGGCAGCTGTCTGGGGCTGGCGCAACCTCGGAAGCCAAGGTAGCACCCGCCCCATCCTCTCGAGACGATCCGGGAGACTCTGCTCCACGAACGAAACGGTGCCTACCGGTACGCCTGTCACGGTGAGCCCTCGGCGTGCGACCTCGATCCCTAGGCCCGTGAAAGCCTCCAGATCCCTGGACAGAAAGGACTCTGTCTGGTAGACGAGGCACTTGTGCGGCTGGGCTGCAAGGCCCATCTCGCCCAAGCGCCTCACGATCTCGGCAAAATGGTGCAGCACCCTGTCTGGGGGACCTAGCACGTACGTGTCATCGGCGTACGACCAGAGCTGGACATCCCCCTCCGCCAGAACCGGCTCCAAAGCAAGACGCTGTGTCAGAGCGTACAAGAAGGGGCTGAGAGGGTCTCCCTGGCGAGTGCCCCGCTCCGAGTGCATCGTGACCACTCCCGTGCCTGACCTGTAGTGGAGATCCGAGGGCGTCCCGTAGAAGAGGCCGATGAAGGGGATCAGACACTGAAACTCCGGACTGGCCTGCAGCGCCTGAAACATCCTGTCTCGGTGGAAAGAGTTAAAGGCATTCGCCACGTCTAGCTGCAGGACCACCCAGTCTGGGTGGTCAGCCAGAGCGCGGCGGACGCCTCTAACTACGACCTCTGTCCCGCACGTAACCCCCACCCCAAACTGCTGTGATGCCAAGAAGACCCTCGCCATCTGGTCACGTAGCTGGAGACAAACTGCCCGAGAAAGAATGCGGACCAAAACCTCGCCGATGGCAATCGGCCGAACATCCATGTTCGACTTCGCCAGAGCCACGAGGGTGGAGGACGCTAGCAAGGAGCGCGCAGCTGGAGCGCAACGGCCTCGGAGCCACTGCTGGTACACGGCCAGGAGGAAATGGAGACTCTGAGGGAAAGCTAGGAAAGTGTCTCGCAGGTGCTCAGCGACCCAACCGGACGGTCCTCCCGAAGAGCCCCGCGGAGCTGTGAAAATCGCGCGGCGTAAGTGATCCACCGAGAGCACGAGAGGGGACCCCTGGAAGCCAGACAGCCAAGCTGGGGTCGGCCTCTCCGCGTTGGGGTGCTTCGACTGCAGGCGCTGTATCGTCCCCTGTGTATCTGGGGCTGCCTCCGCGGACTCGAGAGCCGCGCACGCCCGTGAGGTCTCATTGCACGCTGCCAGACGAAGGCAACGTGCAATGCGGCGCTCATCTGCTGCAGAGGGATCGGTGGCGGTGCGTGACCGGTGACCTGTGCGGCGAGGAAGGGGTGTGCGACGGCCTAGTGCATCTGAGACTAGCTCAGCCCACTCACCTCGACCAAAGCGAGAGATGCGCGTTGCAATGGCAGCCGTGTGCGAGCGGTCGGGTGGCGTCGCTGGAACAAGGAAAAGAGTCGGCGCTGCAGCGAGGAGGAAGGTAGGGCCAGCAGCCTCCGGGTCCTGGGCAATGCGGACTAGGATCGCACTGAGGACGTCAAGATATCCTCCGCGGACCCTCTCCGGGACACGTCGGAGAGGGCGTGTATGGATACGCTCGGGCGAGAAGTACTCTGTCCAGTCCACCGAGTCGAGCGTCTGCCACTGTGCGTCGGTGAACTGCATCCCGGTCGCACGGGGCTGTGAGAGGGAAGGGATGATCGAGGCGGTATCATGGGCAGCCTGCGCCCTGCGAGCCGCGTCCGCAGGATGGCAGAAGGGAATGTGGTGCTGGAGCGCGCGTCGGTTCGCGAGAGAGCTCCTGCAGGTGGGGCAACTCACGACCTGGTCGGGTGATGTCGCCGTGTCGGCGGGGTCAATCGGGGCCGTGGCGTCGGAACTGGCTGTAGAGGGGACCCCGTGGGCGGCCTGAGCTCCGACAGGATCGCCTGGGATGAGGGGAGGAGACGACTCACCAGCCCCGCGCGGGGGGGGTGTCAGCGAAGATAGAGGTGGTGTCGCACAGGATAGGGCCGGGCCTCGTGCCGGCACCGGTGTTGAAGCTGGGGAGGGGGGACGTGGAGGTGAGCCTGAAGTGTGTGCCGTGGTGTGCTCCTGCCCCTCGGCGGGGTGCGGTTCAAGTGACGGCTCTGCTACCCCAGGCGGAGGGGTCTCGGTAGGGGCGGATGCCTCATCCCTACTGCTGGTGACCTCCTGCGCCACGGGCTGAACGGGGGGAGGCGCCACCCCGTCTAGGTGCGAGTGACACGGCCTCAGACCCCGGTCCGTCTCCATTGGGGTCGGGAGTGACGCGCCTGGCTGAGTGGCGGGGGGGATAAAAGAAGGGACAGACCGGGTGACCTCCGCATACGTCCGGGTCCGGTCCTGTGGGACTGGAAGGGTGGGGGCAGCCGGAGAGCTGCTCAGGCGGTGTATCGCCAGCAAATCTGAAATGCCAGCCCTCACCTCCTCTGGGGTCTCGAAGACCTGCCTGCCTGTAGGTGAGAGTAGGAGGGCTGGCAGGGTAGAGGGTGGAGTGGGGCGTGCTGGCTGAGCGGAGCTCGGGTGTGGACCCTGCCCTAGAAGGCCCCCTTGGCCCTCCCCAATCACCATGGGTTGCGGTAGGGGGTCGTCGACATGGAAGGGGTGGGAGGGATGGGAGGGGGAGTCGGTGGCGTCTGCCATGGGCGCATCCCTCAACCCGACGGCCCCCCTCCCAGTAGCGATCGCGGCCGCCGCCACCTGGGAGGGGGACACAGCACGGGAGGGGCAGAATGGGGGTGAGTGGGCTGGTCCGCTCCCATGGCCCTGTGGAGGTGCAGGAGCGGGGCGGGAGTGTAGGTTTGGTGGACGGGCTGTAGAGGTAGGGCCTGGTAATTGTTCAACGGGATGTGAGGTGGGGAGGGGCTCTTGGTGGGGGAGGGAGGGAGGGGGGAGTACGTGGGCTGACCCTCTGCCTCCTCTGCCCCTGTTCTTCCGCCGGCGGCCAACCTGGTTGTCCGCGCCTGTTTGTGAAGGAAGGGGGGGCTGTGGGGCCAAAGGGGTGGGTGGAGGGAGGATGGGTGGTTCGCCAGGCAGGGGGTGCTCTGTGTGCATCCCCACTCTCCTCGAAACATCCCCCTCCGTGGGAACAGATCGGGCAAGCTGTGTGTGGGGGGTGATGGCTGCCCAACGGGGCCACTCGTGGGGAACCCGGCCGGGAGAGGGGGTTGGAGGTGGGGGTCGAGGGGCTGGGCCAGTGTGGAGGTTAGAGCGAGGTACAAACGGTGGGGGGAGAGAGATTTGTGTGGGCTCTGTGGTGGCCTCTCCTGTGGGCCCCTCTACCCGGGTGCCGCCGCTCCCATGAGCCTGGGGCGCAAGCCCTTGCGGGTGGGTCTCGGCTGCCTGGGGGGGGTGGTGTGGGGAGGGCAGCCTGTTGGGTGGGCGTGTTGGGGCTGTGCGGCGACTCGGGTGGTTTGGGTGCCTGTAGCGTGTGGGAGAGGGATTTGGCCGCAGAGATGCTTCAACCTCCGAGATGTGTGTACTACCGGGTGGGGGGGGGCCTGGTGGAGGAGGGGGTAGTGGGCCGGTAAGGGGTGGCTGGGTGTTGGTAGGAGTCGGGGAGCATGGCTCCTCTAGGAAGACCAGAGCCCTGGCTGCTCCACGTGGTGCTCTAAGGAGCCCCTGAGGGTGGGGGCAGAGGTGTGCTGCCCTTGGGGGTGAAGGAAGGAGTGAGGGAAGGGGCGGGGAGGGGTGAGAGGTGAGAGAAGGGGTGCCCTCGGGTGACTCTGCTCTTGTCGCACCCGCGTGCTCTCCCGGTGGACCGCCTGCAACCGTGGGGTCAGGCGTTGGGGACGGAGAGGGGGGCTGGCCATGGAGCAGCGTGGGGGTCGGGGAGCACGGCTCCGCCAAGAAGGCCAGGGCCTTGGCTGCCCCCCTGGACACTACCGGGACCTGAGGGTGGGGGTGGGGAAGTGGTGCTCCTGGGGGCTGGTGGGCTGGAGGACGGGAGGTGAGGATGGGGGCTCCCTCGCGCGGCTCTGTCCTCAAGGTCTCCCCCAGCCCCTCCATCGGTCCTTCTGCTAGCATGGGGACGGGCATGGGGGGTAGAGGGGGAACCTCGACGTGAGGCTGCAGGGGGGCCGGGTCGGCCTCACCGTCAAGCGTGAGGTATTGGGCCAGTGGCCCGTCAATGTGCATCACATCCTCTCCCTCATCCTCCTCTATCGCTATCACATCCCCCTCTTCAGTGCCCACCCCGGTCGGGACCACCCTCCCCTCTCCTTCCCCTGTTGCCCCTATGTCCCCCAAGCCCACCCCGCCTGCTGCCGCTTTACTGCTAGCCCCTTTTGCAGTCTCTGCCGGCCCTGCCGGCCCTGCTGTGTGTTTCCCCGAGTTTGCTGCGGCCCCTGCCGCCCCTACTGGCCGTGCTATGGCCCTCCCTGCTGCTTCAGCTGCAGCCTCACCTTCTGCCTTTGAGGCCCCTGCCGTACCCTCTCTTGCTACAGCCGGGGCGGCACTCTCCCTCGCACCAGTCCCCGTTACCCCCTTCCCCGCTGCACCCGTAGCACCTCCCCCTATACCAGCCCCCGCTGTGGCCTCTGTCGCTCCTGCTGCAGTCCTTGCAGCCTCGACTGCTGCAGTCTGTAAAACCTCGCCTACCGTAATCTGCTCAGCCTCACCAGCCGCGATCCCTGTAGCCTCACGTGCTGCAGTCCCTGCAGCCTCACGTGCTGCAGTCCCTGCAGCCTCACCCGCTGCAGTCCCTGCGGCCTCACCTGCTGCAGTCTGTGCAGCCTCACCTGCTAGAATCTGCTCAACCTCACATGCTGCGGCCTCTGCAGCCTCACCTGCTGCGGCTATTTCAGCCTCACCTGCTGCGCTCCCTGCGGCCTCACCTGCCATGGTCCCGCCTGCAGCCTCATCCGCTGTGGTCCCTGCCGCCTCACCTGCTGCAGTCCCTGCGGCCTCACCTGTTGCAGTCCATGCGACCTCACCAGCTGTAGACTGTGCAGCCTCACCTGCTAGAGTCTGCCCAACCTTACATGATGCAGCCCTCGCAGCCTCACCTGCTGCGTCCGCCGCAGCCTCACCTGCTGTGGCCCCTGCAGTCCCGCCTGCTGCGCTCCCTGCAGCCTCGCCTGCTGCGCTCCCTGCAGCCTCGCTTGCTGCGCTCCCTGCGGCCTCACCTGCTGCGCTCTCTGCAGCCTCACCTGCTGCGCCCCCTACAGCCTCACCTGCTGCGCTCCCCGCAGCCTCACCTACTGCGCTCCCTGCGGCCTCACCTGCCATGGTCCCTCCTGCAGCCTCACCCGTTGTGATCCCTGCAGCCACACCTGCTGTGGTCTGTGCGGCCTCACCTGGTGCGGTCCCTATAGCCTCCTCTGCTGCGGTTCCCCCAGCCGACGCAGCAGCAGGTTCCGTGGCCCCTACTCCTGCAAAACCTGTCTCCATGGCCTCTGCCCTTTGCCTGGCCAGAGTCACGGTCCCTGCCGCCCCTTCCCGTGCAGCCCCTGCCGCCCTTTCCCGTGCAGCCGCTGCTGCCCCTTCCCTTGCAGCCTCTGCTGCCCTTTCCTCTGCAGCCTCTGCTGCCCCTTCCCCCACAACCCCCATTGCCCCTTCCCGTGCAGCCTTTGCTGCCCCATCCTCTGTAGCCTCTGCTGCTCCTTCACACACAAACTCACTTACCCCTTCCCGTGCAGTGTCAGCTGCAAGTTCCCCCCTGGCTCTGCCCTCTCCCGCTTCTATGTGCTTGGGGGTGCGGGTAGGATTAAGTGTTTTCACAAGTAATCTGGTTTGCGAATGGGAGGTAGCGAGTGAGTTGGAGGATCTCTCTACTGAGCATGCATGGGTGCCGCCCCCGCTGTCACCTGAAGGGGGGGTAGACTGGGATGGGGCAGCGGGGGTAGGGCGCGGTTTTGAGCGTGCTGGCTCCTCCTCGTGTATTTCCTCCAGTGGGGCTTGGCGTTCCTCTGTTCCATCCTCTTCAAAGGTACGCTTCTGGCCCCTAGGGTCAGATTGTGTGAGTGTTTTCGCTTGGTCAGGTGTGTGTTGTTTCTTCCTGACTGTTGAAGTGGGGGGAGTGGGAGAGTAGGGGGTGGCTCGGCTGCGGGACCTCCCAGATCGCCGAGGGGCTCCCGGGCCTGCCTTTCCCCCACTCGCGGGGTGCTGGGGCATTGTTACAGAGGCAGCATGCCTGGCGGTGGCGGTGTGAGTTGCTGGGGTTGGCTCAAGAGGGCGTCAAAGGGGGAAGGAACTCCCTGGCAGAGGCCGGGGTGCGGGGGGTTAGCTTGGGGAAAGGGGAAAAGGGTGGGGAAAGCGGTGCGCAGTGGGTGGAAGAGAGGGTAGAGGGGGCCTGACAGTTGGAGGGGATTGGGGCCCAAGGGGGGGGCGGGCTGGGGGCCGATTGAGAGGGGAAGTGTTGGCGGGCTGTAGTGGAGGTGGGGGGGCGGGGGTGGTGTAGCGGTGGGTGAGCAGGGTGTGGGGACAGGTGGTGGGCCAGAGGTGGGGAGGGCAGGGCAGAATTCCACGGGAGGTGGGGGTGGGCAGGTGGAGCCAGGTGGGAAAGGAAGGGTGGGGAACAGAGAGGAAGGGGCAAAGGGTAGTGGGTAGTCGAGTTGGCGTGAGCCTGGTAGCGGGTAATGAGAAGGTTGGGAGGCGGGGGGTGAGAACGTGGGAGGGCAGAGAGGGCACCGAAAGGAGGTGCTGTGGTAAATGCAGGATAGGATGCGGGGCCGGGAAACAGGGGACAGAGGGAATTGGGGAATCGATGAAGGGTGATAGCTGCGGATGGGCGAGCCCCAGGGGGGAGGAAATATGGAGGGTGTTGGAGAAGGGGGAGACTGGGGGGGGTTGAGGTAGGGTGTTGGAGGGCACAAGGGGCAGGAACAGGGGGTGCAAAAGTTGGCTGGGGGAGGGAGAGGCGGTCTGGTGCCGCGGAAAGGCGGAGGGAGGTTGGGGACGGCACAGCCCAGGGAGCAAAAGCAAGGGGTGTAGACCTTGGCTGGGGGTAGGAACGGCGGTGTGGAGTTAGGGAGAGGTAGAGGGAGGCTGGGGTAGGTGGCTGGATTGCGCAGGGAGCAGGGGCAGGGGGTGTAGAGATTGGATGGGGGTGGGAAAGGCGGCGTGGTGCCAGGTGGCGGCAGTTGGGTCACCGAAGGGCCTGGCAGGGCGGGATGCAGAGGTGCAGCCCACGCTGGATGCGGAAGTAGCTGGGGGGGAAAGGGAGGCTGGAGGGGGAAGTACGGCTCGTAGAGGTGTGGGGGGCAGAGTGGGAGTGGGGAAAGCAGGAAGGGGGGTGGAGGGACGTTGTGGACAGGGGAGTGGGGGAACATGCGGGTGATGATAGGGAGAAGCCGGGGGGGGGGGAGAAGGGGGAGGTGGTATGAAGTGGGCAAGGGTGACGCACGGGCAGAGCGCGGCGGTACTAAGGGCAGGGAGACGGGAGGCTGGGGGGAGAAAGGCCTGCTTGGGGGCGTGGTGGGGGATAAGGGGAGAGGGGCGGTAATGCTGGTGGGCAAAAGGGGAGGGTGTGGTGTAGTATGATGAAACAGAATGGGGGGGTGGCGGACTGGGTGGGGCCCTGGAGGGTTGGGAGAACAAGGTGTAAGCTGCCTTTCTGATTTTTCCTGGTTTTTTCGGATTTATATGAATTTCTTTTTCTTTTCTTTTTTCCTTGAAGTTGTTTCCTCTTATTTCCTACGGTTTCCAGAAACAGGGCGGCCTCTGCTAGCTAAGCGCCGTTAGGGAAAGAGGTTAGGTGGCGGGGTGGCTAAAGCGCGCGTGTGAGGGGGAAAGGGGCGGTGTGAGCAGGGAGGTGACTATGTGGGTGGCGACGGGGTAAAATTACGACGTGTGGGTGGCATGCACGAGTGCGCGACGAGGCACGGCAGGGTGGGAGTGAGCAAAAGGGGAGTGGGGCGGCTTGTGTGCCAAACGTGGGCGGCTAAAACGCTCTAGGCAGAAAACGCGCTTCGGGAGGCGCGCAAGGGGAGGGCTGCTTAATCGCTACGAACGTAGCAATTTCGCCTCCCTCCGCGCTGCCTTTCCCTGGCGGTAAGCGCCCCGTGCGCGGTTCCGTCTACGTCGCGGCTAGATTGAACAGGCGGGGAAAACGAGTGCATGACTAAACATGATAGGCGACGAGAAAGCGTGCTTGGAAACGCGCGGCTCTTCGAATTAGGGTTACGATAAAGAAGGGCGCACCGAAAGGGAAGGAAGAGTGCTAACTACGGGCGGAAGCTAAGCTCAGTGACTTCGAGAGAGGGAAACCGCGGGAAAAAACTCGGTAGCAGCTAATCGCTTCGAATAGAAAAGAGCAGTACTGGGCTGGGTGACCTCCCGGGAAGTCCTCGTGTTGTACCCATTTATGCCCCTTGCTCGGCACGTGCCGGGGGAGGGGCAAGCGGGAAAAAGAAAGGACGATTTCAGCGCGTCCGATTTTTTTATTTTCGTTTCTTTGCCCGAACAACGACCCAGCGGGGTGGGGGGCCCCCGGGGAGGCTTGCCCGTGCGAAGAAACGCCCCGTGCGCACCACCGTTGGGCGGTTGGAAGCCGCGCACGGTCGCGGGGGTGGAGAGCGGAAACGGGCAGCCGGGGGAGGGTGGGGGCGGTTGGATGGGACTGGGGTGTACGGGGGGCAGGGGAGTTGAGGGGGCAAGGGGAGGGGCAGCAACGGGCAGGGGCTGGGCCAGCTGAGGGCACGGAAAAGGGGCGGGCAGAGGGTGAGCAGAGGGGCGAGCGATGCAAGGGAGGCACCATAGGGGGGGAAACCAGTTGCACGGAGGTGGGAGGTGAGGGGCGTGCGAGGGGGTGGGAAAGGGGCAGGGAGGGGCAGAATGGGAGGATGTGGGTGGGGGGTGGGGGAGGGGAGTGTGCGTGTGTGTGTGTGAGAAAGAGAGAGAGGGAAAGGGAGGGGGGGAGAGAAGGGTGGGAGGGGGGCTGGTGGTGGGGATGGGCTGATGGTGGTAAGAGGGCAGCAGGGATGGGGAGAAGGGAGCGTAACGAGGGGAGAGCAAAGGGCAGGGGGGGAGGAAGGGAGGGGCAGGGAGGGAAGAGGCTGAACGTACAAAGGGGGGGAAACGAGGGGCATGGATGGTAGGAAACAAGGGCAGGGGTGCGGGAAATCAAGGGCAGGGAGGGGAGAAGCAATGGGTGAGGGGAAAACAAGGGAGGGGCAGAGGGGGTGGGCAGGGAGGGAAGAAACGTGGGGCAGGGAGGGGAGAAGCCAAAGACAGGGGCATGGGCAGGCGGGGGCAGGGAGGGAGCAGAGGAGAGGCACGGAGAAAGAAAGGGAGGCGCGGGGAGGGGAGAAACCGGGCGTGGGGGGGCGGAAAACGAGGGGCAGGGCGGGGAGGAGGGAGGGGCAGGGAGGGGAGAAGCTGAGCACACAGAGGGGGGAAAGGTGGGGCAGGGAGGTAGGAAGCCAAGGGCAAGGGTGGGAGAGTGGGGGGGCAGGGAGAGGGGGGAGGTGGGGGGCGGAGAAAGGCGGCGAGGGGCAGGGAGGGGAGAAACCAAGCATAGGGGGGCGAGATACGAGGGGCAGGGTGCGGATTGAGGAGGGGCAGGGAGTGGAGTGGGTCGGCGAGGGGAAGGAAGAGGCGTGCAGCAGAGGAGGGGAGGGGGGAGGAGAAGGTAAACGAGGGGAGCGCACGGGCGGGGAGGAGCGAATGGCGGGCGGTGGGAAACGGCGAGGGGGGCAGGGAGGGTCAAAAGAGGCGGCAAGGGAGCGGGCACGCGGAGGGTAGGGGCGGGGGGAGCGGATGGCATGAGGGGGCAGGGGGTGTGACTGTGAAGGGGGGACCCGGGCAAGGGGTGTGTACCGGTCGGGGCACGGGGTTGACGTGGTACGATCATACCTCGGCTACTACGCCGGATCCCATCAGAACTCCGAAGCTAAGCGCCGGTGGGCGAGAGCAGTTATTCATTAATAAGGGAAGAGCAAATACAAGCCGAATATAATGGTTTTTCCAAGACTAGGAAATTTCGACATAGCCTAAGCGCTATGAGGACGATTTATATATTTTGTAGGAAAAGGGGGAAAGAAAGGAAAGGAAGGAAAGATGAAGGAGTAAGAAGAAGTGGTAGGGAAAGGAAGAGGGTGGTAGGAAGAGAAGGGAAGGATAGAAGAAGGGAACAGAAAGAGGGAGGTGGGAAGAGAAGAGGAGAGAGAGAGAGAGACTAAGGAGAAGGAAGCACCAAAGGACCAAACACGGCAGCAACCCGCACGACCGCACGGGCACAGCGTTTCAAGCACAGCCACTATTGTTTTTTACACATATGCATCATATATATACTGCATATCAGCCACACTCTCGAAGCACCCTGTGACGTGGTGCCAAGTTCCCTGCCCCGCACCCAGTGGGACTGGTGCGGGCATCCACCCGTCGTCGGACCTCCCTAACTGCCGCACCGCATGCTGGATCATGCATTGAGCCTGCGCGCGCTGCAGTGCAACGGAGAGGCGTGTAGTGAGTCCTGCCTCAAATATCCGTGCCGATCCGTCATCCCCCCCACCTCTATCCCTCCTCCGCTGTGCTATCCTCTTTGCGCAGAGCCCCAGAAACTGACGCAGCGGCTCACTCAGAAGGCCAAAGGTCTCCGCCACGCACGCGTAAAAGTGTGGTGCCGGCTGCAGCCCCTCTAAGTGCGGCCCCCAGTGACGCAGCTTCTCCTGCACCCGCCTAGCTGCTGCCACTCCAATCTGTGTGGGGGTCGCCCGTCTCAGCTGCACGTTCCCCTCCCGCTGTGGATCCGCTATGGAGACATCCACAAGAACCATCAGACCCTGGCCAACGTCGCGGCAGGTGAGGTCTGGAATGCGGGAGGCGGTGCCTACACGGCCTGTGCGTCCGACTGGTCCCTGCTGTTGCGCTGGCTGCTGCCCTGTCTGGTCCCTTGGTGCCCCCTCTCCGATCGTCTCTCTCCCCCTCTCCTCTCCTCCATCCACCTGTCCTCTCCCCTCCCCCTCCCTACCCTCCCCCAAACCTCCCGACCCCCCTGCTCCATCCCCTGCTGCCTCTCTCACTCCCTGGCCCTCCCCTCCCAATCCCGCTGCCCCTCCTGTACCTCCGTCCGCTCTCTGCTGCTCCCGCCCCTGCCCCGCCCCCGAGGCCGAACCTGGAGGCGCGGCGCCCTGGGCCCGCGGCCTCCACTGGCTCTCCTGCTGCTGCCTGTGCCGTCCCCCCTCCCCGTCCTGGCCCGTCTGCTCCCCCTGCCGTCCCCTCTGCCCACCTGTCCCTCGCTCCACCTGACCCCGCAGCTGGTGCCGTCCCCACTGTCCCCCGCCACCCGGCTGTCCCGCCTCGCCTCTCCGCTCCCCCGGTCCCTCAGCCCGTGTCCCCTCTCCCACCACTGGCTGTCCCAGTAGTCTCGCTCGAGCCGCCTCCAACTGTGTGAACAGCGTAGAGTCCTCCACCTTTACCGCGAAGCCCGCCTCGACCGCAAAGTCTCGAAGCATGTACTTCACCGTGTCGTGGATGGTAGTGGCGACCCCGTAACGCGGGCACCGAACCGCGTGATGAGGCACCGTCATGTCGTCAATCGCCTGTCCGCAGGAGCACTGACCTGCAAGGGCTAACTGGGGGATAGGGAGACCAAGACGAGAAGATGAAGCCGCCTGCCACAGCGCCTCCGGGATGCGCAGTGGGTCGGCGTACGGCACCGACGTCAACCACGCTCCTGCACCTCCGCCCTGAAGGGAAGTCAAACGGGCAAGGTGCAAGGGAGAGGTGTGACGGGCACGCACGGCCTCCAAGGCATGCGCCTCCAGAAGACGGCTCGCTCCTGCAAAAAGGGAATCGGGGGAGGCAGAAGCGCAAGAGGGCCAGGGGGGAAGGAGAGAGAGAACGTCAGGAGGGAGACCCTCTAGCGCCGTCTGCAGAGCCCGGTCGATCTGCTCTGGCTCACCTGAAGCGAAGCTCTGCCGAAACACCTCGCCACACGCAGGGAGAGAACAGAGAATGGGTGCACACTGCACCCAGGAGCACACGAAACTCACCGGGGCCATGCGCGCCATGCGACGAATGCCGAAACCCCCGAGACGGATGGGGAGGAAGATCTGGTCTAGGGCGGCCTCTCGGACGTCCTCGCGACAAGCCCAGGTCCCTGAAGCTAAAAGCTGCTGAAAAGTCTCTCCCAGGCGTGCGTCCCACCGTGTAAAACTGGAGATCACTGCGGGCGAAGGAGGGACGGTCCTCGACAGGTACTGCGGACGAGTGCTGACACACGCCGAAAGAAGGCGGGCAGCTGTCTGGGGCTGGCGCAACCTCGGAAGCCAAGGTAGCACCCGCCCCATCCTCTCGAGACGATCCGGGAGACTCTGCTCCACGAACGAAACGGTGCCTACCGGTACGCCTGTCACGGTGAGCCCTCGGCGTGCGACCTCGATCCCTAGGCCCGTGAAAGCCTCCAGATCCCTGGACAGAAAGGACTCTGTCTGGTAGACGAGGCACTTGTGCGGCTGGGCTGCAAGGCCCATCTCGCCCAAGCGCCTCACGATCTCGGCAAAATGGTGCAGCACCCTGTCTGGGGGACCTAGCACGTACGTGTCATCGGCGTACGACCAGAGCTGGACATCCCCCTCCGCCAGAACCGGCTCCAAAGCAAGACGCTGTGTCAGAGCGTACAAGAAGGGGCTGAGAGGGTCTCCCTGGCGAGTGCCCCGCTCCGAGTGCATCGTGACCACTCCCGTGCCTGACCTGTAGTGGAGATCCGAGGGCGTCCCGTAGAAGAGGCCGATGAAGGGGATCAGACACTGAAACTCCGGACTGGCCTGCAGCGCCTGAAACATCCTGTCTCGGTGGAAAGAGTTAAAGGCATTCGCCACGTCTAGCTGCAGGACCACCCAGTCTGGGTGGTCAGCCAGAGCGCGGCGGACGCCTCTAACTACGACCTCTGTCCCGCACGTAACCCCCACCCCAAACTGCTGTGATGCCAAGAAGACCCTCGCCATCTGGTCACGTAGCTGGAGACAAACTGCCCGAGAAAGAATGCGGACCAAAACCTCGCCGATGGCAATCGGCCGAACATCCATGTTCGACTTCGCCAGAGCCACGAGGGTGGAGGACGCTAGCAAGGAGCGCGCAGCTGGAGCGCAACGGCCTCGGAGCCACTGCTGGTACACGGCCAGGAGGAAATGGAGACTCTGAGGGAAAGCTAGGAAAGTGTCTCGCAGGTGCTCAGCGACCCAACCGGACGGTCCTCCCGAAGAGCCCCGCGGAGCTGTGAAAATCGCGCGGCGTAAGTGATCCACCGAGAGCACGAGAGGGGACCCCTGGAAGCCAGACAGCCAAGCTGGGGTCGGCCTCTCCGCGTTGGGGTGCTTCGACTGCAGGCGCTGTATCGTCCCCTGTGTATCTGGGGCTGCCTCCGCGGACTCGAGAGCCGCGCACGCCCGTGAGGTCTCATTGCACGCTGCCAGACGAAGGCAACGTGCAATGCGGCGCTCATCTGCTGCAGAGGGATCGGTGGCGGTGCGTGACCGGTGACCTGTGCGGCGAGGAAGGGGTGTGCGACGGCCTAGTGCATCTGAGACTAGCTCAGCCCACTCACCTCGACCAAAGCGAGAGATGCGCGTTGCAATGGCAGCCTCCCGTGGGCGAGAGCAGTACTGGGCTGGGTGACCTCCCGGGAAGTCCTCGTGTTGTACCCATTTATGCCCCTTGCTCGGCACGTGCCGGGGGAGGGGCAAGCGGGAAAAAGAAAGGACGATTTCAGCGCGTCCGATTTTTTCATTTTCGTTTTTTTGCCCGAACAACGACCCAGCGGGGTGGGGGGCCCCCGGGGAGGCTTGCCCGTGCGAAGAAACGCCCCGTGCGCACCACCGTTGGGCGGTTGGAAGCCGCACACGGTCGCGGGGGTGGAGAGCGGAAACGGGCAGCCGGGGGAGGGTGGGGGCGGTTGGATGGGACTGGGGTGTACGGGGGGCAGGGGAGTTGAGGGGGCAAGGGGAGGGGCAGCAACGGGCAGGGGCTGGGCCAGCTGAGGGCACGGAAAAGGGGCGGGCAGAGGGTGAGCAGAGGGGCGAGCGATGCAAGGGAGGCACCATAGGGGGGGGAAACCAGTTGCACGGAGGTGGGAGGTGAGGGGCGTGCGAGGGGGTGGGAAAGGGGCAGGGAGGGGCAGAATGGGAGGATGTGGGTGGGGGGTGGGGGAGGGGAGTGTGCGTGTGTGTGTGTGAGAAAGAGAGAGAGGGAAAGGGAGGGGGGGAGAGAAGGGTGGGAGGGGGGCTGGTGGTGGGGATGGGCTGATGGTGGTAAGAGGGCAGCAGGGATGGGGAGAAGGGAGCGTAACGAGGGGAGAGCAAAGGGCAGGGGGGGAGGAAGGGAGGGGCAGGGAGGGAAGAGGCTGAACGTACAAAGGGGGGGAAACGAGGGGCATGGATGGTAGGAAACAAGGGCAGGGGTGCGGGAAATCAAGGGCAGGGAGGGGAGAAGCAATGGGTGAGGGGAAAACAAGGGAGGGGCAGAGGGGGTGGGCAGGGAGGGAAGAAACGTGGGGCAGGGAGGGGAGAAGCCAAAGACAGGGGCATGGGCAGGCGGGGGCAGGGAGGGAGCAGAGGAGAGGCACGGAGAAAGAAAGGGAGGCGCGGGGAGGGGAGAAACCGGGCGTGGGGGGGCGGAAAACGAGGGGCAGGGCGGGGAGGAGGGAGGGGCAGGGAGGGGAGAAGCTGAGCACACAGAGGGGGGAAAGGTGGGGCAGGGAGGTAGGAAGCCAAGGGCAAGGGTGGGAGAGTGGGGGGGGCAGGGAGAGGGGGGAGGTGGGGGGCGGAGAAAGGCGGCGAGGGGCAGGGAGGGGAGAAACCAAGCATAGGGGGGCGAGATACGAGGGGCAGGGTGCGGATTGAGGAGGGGCAGGGAGTGGAGTGGGTCGGCGAGGGGAAGGAAGAGGCGTGCAGCAGAGGAGGGGAGGGGGGAGGAGAAGGTAAACGAGGGGAGCGCACGGGCGGGGAGGAGCGAATGGCGGGCGGTGGGAAACGGCGAGGGGGGCAGGGAGGGTCAAAAGAGGCGGCAAGGGAGCGGGCACGCGGAGGGTAGGGGCGGGGGGAGCGGATGGCATGAGGGGGCAGGGGGTGTGACTGTGAAGGGGGGACCCGGGCAAGGGGTGTGTACCGGTCGGGGCACGGGGTTGACGTGGTACGATCATACCTCGGCTACTACGCCGGATCCCATCAGAACTCCGAAGCTAAGCGCCGGTGGGCGAGAGCAGTTATTCATTAATAAGGGAAGAGCATATACAAGCCGAATATAATGGTTTTTCCAAGACAAGGAAATTTCGACATAGCCTAAGCGCTATGAGGACGATATATATATTTTGTAGGAAAAGGGGGAAAGAAAGGAAAGGAAGGAAAGATGAAGGAGTAAGAAGAAGTGGTAGGGAAAGGAAGAGGGTGGTAGGAAGAGAAGGGAAGGATAGAAGAAGGGAACAGAAAGAGGGAGGTGGGAAGAGAAGAGGAGAGAGAGAGAGAGACTAAGGAGGAGGAAGCACCAAAGGACCAAACACGGCAGCAACCCGCACGACCGCACGGGCACAGCGTTTCAAGCACAGCCACTATTGTTTTTTACACATATGCATCATATATATACTGCATATCAGCCACACTCTCGAAGCACCCTGTGACGTGGTGCCAAGTTCCCTGCCCCGCACCCAGTGGGACTGGTGCGGGCATCCACCCGTCGTCGGACCTCCCTAACTGCCGCACCGCATGCTGGATCATGCATTGAGCCTGCGCGCGCTGCAGTGCAACGGAGAGGCGTGTAGTGAGTCCTGCCTCAAATATCCGTGCCGATCCGTCATCCCCCCCACCTCTATCCCTCCTCCGCTGTGCTATCCTCTTTGCGCAGAGCCCCAGAAACTGACGCAGCGGCTCACTCAGAAGGCCAAAGGTCTCCGCCACGCACGCGTAAAAGTGTGGTGCCGGCTGCAGCCCCTCTAAGTGCGGCCCCCAGTGACGCAGCTTCTCCTGCACCCGCCTAGCTGCTGCCACTCCAATCTGTGTGGGGGTCGCCCGTCTCAGCTGCACGTTCCCCTCCCGCTGTGGATCCGCTATGGAGACATCCACAAGAACCATCAGACCCTGGCCAACGTCGCGGCAGGTGGGGTCTGGAATGCGGGAGGCGGTGCCTACACGGCCTGTGCGTCCGACTGGTCCCTGCTGTTGCGCTGGCTGCTGCCCTGTCTGGTCCCTTGGTGCCCCCTCTCCGATCGTCTCTCTGCCCCCTCTCCTCTCCTCCATCCACCTGTCCTCTCCCCTCCCCCTCTCTACCCTCCCCCAAACCTCCCGACCCCCCTGCTCCATCCCCTGCTGCCTCTCTCACTCCCTGGCCCTCCCCTCCCAATCCCGCTGCCCCTCCTGTACCTCCGTCCGCTCTCTGCTGCTCCCGCCCCTGCCCCGCCCCCAAGGCCGAACCTGGAGGCGCGGCGCCCTGGGCCCGCGGCCTCCACTGGCTCTCCTGCTGCTGCCTGTGCCGTCCCCCCTCCCTGTCCTGGCCTGTCTGCTCCCCCTGCCGTCCCCTCTGCCCACCTGTCCCTCGCTCCACCTGACCCCGCAGCTGGTGCCGTCCCCACTGTCCCCCGCCACCCGGCTGTCCCGCCACGCCTCTCCGCTCCCCCGGTCCCTCAGCCCGTGTCCCCTCTCCCACCACTGGCTGTCCCAGTAGTCTCGCTCGAGCCGCCTCCAACTGTGTGAACAGCGTAGAGCAGTACTGGGCTGGGTGACCTCCCGGGAAGTCCTCGTGTTGTACCCATTTATGCCCCTTGCTCGGCACGTGCCGGGGGAGGGGCAAGCGGGAAAAAGAAAGGACGATTTCAGCGCGTCCGATTTTTTCATTTTCGTTTTTTTGCCCGAACAACGACCCAGCGGGGTGGGGGGCCCCCGGGGAGGCTTGCCCGTGCGAAGAAACGCCCCGTGCGCACCACCGTTGGGCGGTTGGAAGCCGCACATGGTCGCGGGGGGTGGAGAGCGGAAACGGGCAGCCGGGGGAGGGTGGGGGCGGTTGGATGGGACTGGGGTGTACGGGGGGCAGGGGAGTTGAGGGGGCAAGGGGAGGGGCAGCAACGGGCAGGGGCTGGGCCAGCTGAGGGCACGGAAAAGGGGCGGGCAGAGGGTGAGCAGAGGGGCGAGCGATGCAAGGGAGGCACCATAGGGGGGGGAAACCAGTTGCACGGAGGTGGGAGGTGAGGGGCGTGCGAGGGGGTGGGAAAGGGGCAGGGAGGGGCAGAATGGGAGGATGTGGGTGGGGGGTGGGGGAGGGGAGTGTGCGTGTGTGTGTGTGAGAAAGAGAGAGAGGGAAAGGGAGGGGGGGAGAGAAGGGTGGGAGGGGGGCTGGTGGTGGGGATGGGCTGATGGTGGTAAGAGGGCAGCAGGGATGGGGAGAAGGGAGCGTAACGAGGGGAGAGCAAAGGGCAGGGGGGGAGGAAGGGAGGGGCAGGGAGGGAAGAGGCTGAACGTACAAAGGGGGGGAAACGAGGGGCATGGATGGTAGGAAACAAGGGCAGGGGTGCGGGAAATCAAGGGCAGGGAGGGGAGAAGCAATGGGTGAGGGGAAAACAAGGGAGGGGCAGAGGGGGTGGGCAGGGAGGGAAGAAACGTGGGGCAGGGAGGGGAGAAGCCAAAGACAGGGGCATGGGCAGGCGGGGGCAGGGAGGGAGCAGAGGAGAGGCACGGAGAAAGAAAGGGAGGCGCGGGGAGGGGAGAAACCGGGCGTGGGGGGGCGGAAAACGAGGGGCAGGGCGGGGAGGAGGGAGGGGCAGGGAGGGGAGAAGCTGAGCACACAGAGGGGGGAAAGGTGGGGCAGGGAGGTAGGAAGCCAAGGGCAAGGGTGGGAGAGTGGGGGGGCAGGGAGAGGGGGGAGGTGGGGGGCGGAGAAAGGCGGCGAGGGGCAGGGAGGGGAGAAACCAAGCATAGGGGGGGCGAGATACGAGGGGCAGGGTGCGGATTGAGGAGGGGCAGGGAGTGGAGTGGGTCGGCGAGGGGAAGGAAGAGGCGTGCAGCAGAGGAGGGGAGGGGGGAGGAGAAGGTAAACGAGGGGAGCGCACGGGCGGGGAGGAGCGAATGGCGGGCGGTGGGAAAACGGCGAGGGGGGCAGGGAGGGTCAAAAGAGGCGGCAAGGGAGCGGGCACGCGGAGGGTAGGGGCGGGGGGAGCGGATGGCATGAGGGGGCAGGGGGTGTGACTGTGAAGGGGGGACCCGGGCAAGGGGTGTGTACCGGTCGGGGCACGGGGTTGACGTGGTACGATCATACCTCGGCGTACTACGCCGGATCCCATCAGAACTCCGAAAGCTAAGCGCTGGTGGGCGAGAGCAGTTATTCATTAATAAGGGAAGAGCAAATACAAGCCGAATATAATGGTTTTTCCAAGACTAGGAAATTTCGACATAGCCTAAGCGCTCTATGAGGACGATTTATATATTTGTAGGAAAAGGGGGAAAGAAAGGAAAGGAAGGAAAGATGAAGGAGTAAGAAGAAGTGGTAGGGAAAGGAAGAGGGTGGTAGGAAGAGAAGGGAAGGCTAGAAGAATAGGAACAAGAAAGAGGGAGGTGGGAAGAGAAGAGGAGAGAGAGAGAGAGACTAAGGAGAAGGAAGCACCAAAGGACCAAACACGGCAGCAACCCGCACGACCCGCACGGGCACAGCGTTTCAAGCACAGCCACTATTGTTTTTTACACATATGCATCATATATATACTGC